GGGGGGGGGCAGAAAAGGGGCCCTTTCCTTCCTGGGCAAAGGGCTCCGGGCCCATCTGGTTCCTCCCTTCCTCCCGTCCTTCATGAGGACTGGTTCCTTGGGCTTTGCCTAATCCTGGGATGTCTCCCCCCGTTATTTCCCCACCTGTTCCCCTCCCCCCATGCTAAAAGTCATCTCTCGCTCTTCTCTTCATCCCCAGAAAGCCTCTTTTGGGAGGTGGGGGCTGCGGAAGGGCCTGGGGGCTGCGCAGAGGCCAAAACCTGGGGTAAGTGAGAGAGCCGGGCGAAGGAGGGCTGAGCCGGTCCAGCTTTCCAGAGGTTCCAGGTGCTAGAGGGAGACAGAGGCGGGTTCAGGTCCGGAGGGCTGCCGAGACCCTTGCGAAGCCCCCTGGCCAAAGAAGGGCATCGGAAGGCCTGGCCTGCTCCATCTGGCGCTTCTCCCCCTGCAGGCCCCTCCGCGGAGGCCCCCGAAGCCAAGCGCCAGAGGCTGGGTGAGTGGGCTGCTCCCTTGGTGGCGGCTTCTCTTTAGTAACGGGGGGGTGTGCAGGGATCGGGCCCCCCGCCCCAAGCCCCTTCCCCTCTGCTGCTGGCACGGCCGCTGCCTCGCCCTCTTCCTTTCCCCTCCCGATCTGGGCCGTCTCCTCCTGCCTTCCCCTCCCTACAAGATGGCAAGCCACCCAGGGCGGGCAAAACAGCCCTTCCCCAAGCCTGAGGCTTCAACTCCCATCATCCCCAGCCACTGGCTTGGAAGTCTGAAGGCAGCAAGGAAACGAAGCCGGAAACTTCCCATGTTTGGTGCTGGCTGAGCGGAGGGGGGGCCTCCACCTTCCAGCCAGTTTGGGGCAAGCGCCCACCCTGGTCTCCCTGGGCTGCTGAGGGGGGGGAGGGGAGGGAGGGAGCCCACCTTGCCTGGCTTTGGGGCAGGCTGGGTGACCTTCCTTTCCTTTGACAGCTCACCAACCGGCTCTGTGCATTGTGAGCGGGGACCCCCTCGCCACTCCCCCTCGCCCCGGCCAGGATGGCACCGACTCTCCAGGCGACTTCCACGTGCAAGTTTTGGTGGCCTCCGTGGGCCCTGCGGGCAGGTCTCCAGAAGCGCTCGGTACACAAAAGCCCCTCCAGAGGCCCCCGCCCTGCAGTGGCCCTGCCGGGATTCCTGCTGAGAGCCAACCTCCTTCTCCCTCTCTTCCAGGGCCCTCTGCCAATGGGCAGCTCTGGTGCATCCCACGCCATGGGAGCAACATCCAGATGATCTTCACCTTTGAAAATGCCCAGCAGCCCTGCTTGCCTGTGGATGCCCCAACCTGCCCAGGTGAGTTTCCTCGTTTGGCCTCCCACCAGCAGCCTCCAAGCGAGCTGGAGCTCAGGACCACCACAGCAGCAAAGCCGAAGTCATCCGGGGAGGAGGATTTTGGGGCTTCCGTCCCTGACCCTCTCCCTGCCTGTCCTCCTCTCCTAGGGTCGGTGCGGGCTTTCTGCAAGCGGCTGAAGGAGCATTTCCGCAGAGAATGCCGTCCGGGGCCCCTGTACCTGGAGAAGGACTTGGTGCAGCATCACCTGGACGGCAGGGGCGGGAGGCGTGCGGCTCTGAGGCGCTGCCCCCTGGGAGAGCAGGGGGAGGCCTCCGTGGAGAGGAGCCGCTTGTTCCAGGGCACCAGGAAACCCGGCCTGGGCAGCAGAACCATCCTGGTCCTGGGGAAGGCCGGCACGGGGAAAAGCCACCTGGTGCAGAAGATCTGCCTGGACTGGGCCGAGGGCCGGATGCCCCAGTTTGACCTTGTTCTCCGATTCGACTGCCGGAGGCTGAGCCTGCTGCAGGGCTCCTGCCACGACTTCCGGGCCCTGCTCTTGGATTCCCTGGGCGGCTCCTGCCAGGGCGTCGATGACGTCTACCACAGCCTCTTGCAGAAGCCGGAGCGGCTCCTCCTGCTGTTTGACGGCATGGAAGACCTGAAGGAGGGTCCCGAGGGCTCCTCCTCCGCGTCAGGGAGCCCGGCCGGCAGGGGAGCCCACCGCCTGGGGGCCACCTTGGCCCCCCTCTTCCAAAGGAAGGGGCTCAGCGGCTGCACTTTCTTATTGACCGGACAGCGCAAAGGGAGGCTCCCCCCGTGTTTCCCCCGGGTGGACTCGGTCCTGGAGGTGGTGGACTTCTCCCCGGAGCAGGCCTCGCTCTGCCTGGCCGGCTCTTTCGAGGGCTCCTCCCCCTGGGAGCAGGAGGCGAACCCCGTCGGGAGCTCTCCTTACCTGCTCAGCCTTTGCTGCAATCCCGGCCTCTGCCGGTTCATTGGCCAGGCGGCGTCTGAAACGAGAGGCCAAGAGCTGCCCTCCACCCTCACCGGCCTCTTCGCCACCTACCTTCTCCAGAAGGCGGCAGGCTGCGGGTGCCAGGCCCTCCCTGCCCTGGCCGAGGTCTCTTGGTCTCTCGGGCAGCGTTGCCAAAGGGCCCTCCTGAGCGAGCAGTTCCCTTCCGCAGACGTGAAGGAGCTCGCTCTCCGAACTGGACTCATGACGGAGCAGCGGGGTGTTTGCGTCTTCTCCAACTTCGCTGCCCAGAATTTCTTGGTGGCGCTGCATTTGACTCTGGCCAAAGAGATCAAGGGCAAAAAACTCACCAAATTCCTTGGTCTGGGCGCCAAGTTCCGGAAGTTTCTCTCTTCGTGGGGCCTGGTGCCCCGTTTCTTGTCCGGGTTGCTGTTCTTAAAGGACGACCTCAGCAGCTCTCTCCTTTTGGGCAAGGGAGGCGACTTAGGAGACACGGAGAACCTGATCGCAAGGAAGCAGAGGAGCCTCTCCAGATTCATCCGGAAACTTCCCCTGAGGGATTTCAGGCCGGACAAGTTGCTGGAGCTGCTGCACTGCGTCCATGAAACCGAAGACCAGCCCCTCCGGAAGCACTTGACCCTGGAGCTCCGGCCGGACCTCTCCTTCGTGGGCTTCTCGCTCGCCCCGCCAGACGTCAGCGTCCTGCACGCTGTGTTGGGAACGTCCCCCAAGAAGTTCTCTTTGGACCTGAGGGGGACCGGCATCCACTTGGATGGACTCAGGAAGCTGGTTGGCCTGAAGAACGTCACCAAGTTCAGGTGGGCGGAAGGTCTTGGAGGGCCGCACCTGGGCAGGGGCTGGGCCTTCAGGCCATGAGGACCAGGCGCTGGGAGGAAAGGCCCACCGAGCAGGGAGCTCCGTCTCGGGGGAGGAGGGAGGCCGGAAGGACCCCTGGACGGCTTCTCAAAGCCAGAGGTCCCTGCTGAGGGATTTGTCCTTATGTGGACGGTGCCTGGGTTGACCCCCCGTGATCTTAGTGGGCCCAGAAAAACCATCCTTGGAGCCACTCAAGGAATCTTCGCTTGAAGGGAACCGATCCAGGGGAAGGGGGAGAGGAGTTCTGGTCGGGGCCTCAAGCCAAGATCAGATCCTGGTCCAGCTAGCGTTGCAGTTGTGCCCATCAAGGCCAGATCCAAACCCAAGATCTTCCCAAGGGAAAGACAGAACCAGAACCGCCCTGAACCCGGGAGGAGCCAGGGAAGCTGCCTGCAGCGGAGGAAGGCAGCCTCACGGACTCGTCTTGCAGGGTGTCCCTCAGGGAAGCTGTGGGGCTCTGGAAGCACCTGTGGGGCGCCCAGGAGAGGGAAGCCCTGCAGGCAGCCCTGGAGAAGTTCCTGGTGGAGCCCTTCAGGGCGAAGACGATGGGGGACGTGGACGCCCTCCTCGCCCTGGTGCAGCTGCAGAGAGACATGGCCGAAGGGTAAGGCCCCCACCCACCCCAGCCGAGCTCAGCTGAGAGGGCCCCACGCAGGCAGCCCCCAAGGCCAGCTGCGGGGAGGCTCTCCCGGCGGGGGTGGGGTGGGAATGCCAGGCCCCCTCTAGGCCTGCCTTGGGGATCAGGGATCTGGGGAGGCGCTGGGCTCCTCAGCCCCAGGCCTGCTCTGGGCGCCAGGAGAAGAGTGGCTTGGGGTGGCTTTGAGCAGAGGCCTAGCTGAAGGTGGGGTGCAAAGACGGAGGGTATGTCATAGACATAGAACAACAGAGTTGGAAGGGACCCTGGAGGTCATCTAGTCCAGCCCCCTGCTCAAGCAGGAGAGTCCATTCCAAATATTAGCCTCTGCCGAGGATTGAACTTGCAGCCTCCTGATGGTGAGGCGAGAGCACCCCCGCTGGGCCCCCGCAGCTTGGCTCCCTTGGTGAGCTTCGGCCAGAGGCTGCCACTGGTCCCGCCCTCTCTGCTCTTCCCTGACCGCCTTTGCCTCCGACCCCATGTTTGGCTCAGCAGGGAAGACTCGGCGGGTTCCGGCGTTCGTCTTATTCCAGCCGTCGCTGGGTTCCTGCAACTAGAATTCAGGTAAGTTCACAGGGGCATTTTAAGAGCGGAATGCAGCAACAGCAGGCAACCGTGTGTTAAAAGCAGAACCTCCTTGTGCTGGGGCAGTCTACCTCAGAACCCCCGATTTCCTCCTGGGCTGCCAGGCAGGCGCCTCGGGGGGCGTTGGTGGCTTCTGGGCCAAAGAAAGGGCAAGGGAAGGGGTCGCTTGGCAGGGGGGAGGGGCGGGAGGGGCCCTGGGTCAGGAGTCCAGCACCCACTGTCCCCTTCCCCCCCCCCACACTTGCCTTGCAGCCTCGGGCCCAGCTGTGGCTTGGAGGGCTTCCGAAAGTTGGCGGGTTCTTTGGTGGCCTTCTCGGCTCTTCAGCACTTGGAGTAAGTGAGCCAAAGAGCCCCTCCCCAAGTCCACCTCGGGAGTGTCTTTGAATGGGCGGGGGGACAAGGATGGGGGGGGGGGCCCTCTGTCAGATGCCAGGCTTAGGCACCAAGGTCTGAGATCCTCAGGAAGCGGCAGCCCTGGGGGTCCTCCCCCCTCCATGAAGGTTGCCCTGCTGGGTCTGCAGGATACCTTGGCCTGGCAAGCAAGACCCCCCAGGGAGGAGCTGGAGTGGGGCTTCTGGGACGTTCCCAACCCTGCCGGCCCCCTCCCCACGCCCTGACATCTAGCCACGTCCAGGGGGAAGCCCCTCCCGTGCTTGGCAAGAAAAGCAAAATCCCACCGCAGAGCCCATCCCCTTTGCCCCCTGGGTGCCCCCCAAAACAGCCCCCCCTCCCCGATCAAGCAGAATTTGCAGTCATCCTGGCTTGACTGTCCCCAGCTTGGATTCCCCCGATGAAAACGAAATCGGAGATGAAGGGGTGAGGTCCCTCACCCGCGTCCTTCCTCGCTTGGCGTCTCTGGAAACGCTGAAGTAAGTTTTTTGTTCTGCGGCTCCTGGTGGCAGGAAGCCAGAAAGGTCCCAGGGAGGAGACACCCCCCTCCCCCATGGCATCTCCCAGGGACTCACTCGGTGTGCGTGTGCGAGGGCGAGTGTGTGCACGTGAACGAATGAAAGAGGCTGGAACATGGAATGGTTACGAAGCGCCCAACAGCCAAAATTCTTGGGACACATTATAAACAGAATGAAAAAGAAACAAAAAGTGAAACAGAAAACCATACAAGAGTAACGTTTGTTTAGGAAGGGGCTGCCTCTGCGTGGTGGGCCCTCTCCCACCGGCCTCCTCGAATGGGCCACGCCGAGAGGGAGGGAAAGGACCCCCCCCCCAAAGCGTCCTGAACGCAACCATCTTTTGTGCCTAGCTTGTCCCGGAACAAGATCTCCGACCTGGGGGCTGAGTTGTTGGCCCAAGCCCTCCCCTCCCTGCGTTTGCTGAAGACCCTCAGGTGAGGCCGCCCCCCCAGGTGGGGGAGGGCTCCTTCCTTGCCTCCCACATGGCCCCTGGCAGTGGGGACCCGGCTCAGCCTCCTCCTCGGTTTGGCTCCTGCAGCTTGTACGAGAACAACATCGGGGATGCCGGGGCGGAGCGTGTGGCAAAGGTGCTGCCCCAGATGTGTGCCTTGCAGGTGCTGGAGTAAGTGTGCCAGGGGCTGGGGCTGGGGCTGGGGGGGGCGCAGGAGGGAGCCAAAGCAGACTTTTTTCGCACAGGACTGGAACCCCCAATCTTCATGCAGGCTCCCCTTATAGCTCCTGCAGCCACCTCGGCTGCTTGGATGTTCCATGGGGTGGGAAAGAGGAGGAGGGGCTCAGCCGCGGGGCCCACCGGGTTCTTGGGGACCGCCTCCCCCAAGCCCCCAGTACCAGGAGAGGCCTGGTAGAGCCAGAAGGGCGGCGAAAGACTCCAGCCACGCTCAGCCCTCGGCCCTCTGCCTCCAGGGGTTTCTGGCAAAGGGGGGGCCTGTAATTCTGCCTCTTTTGCCCCCACCCCCACCCCCCACCTCAGCCTGCACTGCAACCAGATATCTGCCGCCGGAGCCCGGTGTCTGACGGAGCGCCTGAGAAGATGCCCCCGCATCCAGAGCTTGGCGTAAGTTTGGGCTTCCGGGATCGAAGCCCTTTTCCTGGAACACCCCAAGGGCCACTCTGAACTGCCCTGGATTCGGCAGGGGTTGCTTTGGAAGAGGTTCTGGGCAGGACGGTCGAATTCCTGGCCAGCTGCAGAGTGGGAGCCCCCTCACCCCCCCACCCCCCGGGGGGAAGTCGCCCCACCCCCAAGTGGCAGCCACTGGTGGCATTTTTGGGAGGAAGGCCCCCTTGTTCCAGTTGCCTTTCATTTCTTGCTTTCTCAAAACTTTCAGGCTGTGGAACCCCACAATCCCTCACGGGGTTCTGGATCACCTGCAGCAGCTGGATTCTCGGATCAGAAGGTTTTAGGGGCAGCCCCTGGCCGGTCGGTTCGGATTCTGTGGTGGTGAGTGTCTTCCAGCGACCGGTAGGAGCTTCCGCCATTCTGCACTCAGCCTAGGAAATGCTCCTCACTGTGGAGGAGAGGCCGAATTGCAGTCGTCCCACTCTCACAATGCCGTGTGTGTGGGGGGGGGGGGTGAGGCTTCGTTGACTCCCCCGGCCCATAACTCATAAAGGGCCATTTATCACTGTGGGCCCTTTGGACCCCCAGCTATCCAAACCCTTCCAGGTGCCCTATGACAAAAATCTCTGTCAATCAATGCCATCAATATAGCTAATTACTAAAGCACTTTGCATTATGGGTGCCCCCCCTCGGCCACGCTGAAGCTCCACTCCCCTGCCCCTTGGCCCCCTTGGAGTCAAGGGTAGGAAACACCCCCACCCCACCCCCGCATGGCAGTTGCATGGCTTTAAGAGAGAGGCCCCCCACACCCCGCAATCCCCATTTTCTCTCTCACAGGAGGAAATTCTGCTGCTAAATTAAAGCTGTGTGGTCTTCTGTTTCTCCATCCACCCGAGGACCGGATCCTCTTTCCGAAGGAATCCTCTCCAGGGCAGTTGACGCCAGGTCCCACATTCTGCGAAGTGGCCGAAGGCAAGGGAAATGTGTGTGCGTGTCTGCAGAGAGGTGGAAGCGTCAAAAGTTATTTGACTTAGCAGAGATATCTATGGAGAATAAGCAACTGACTTCTTAAGAAAGAAAAAAAACCTACGCAATGCTGGTGCTTTCTGAATAAACTCCGCTCCTTTTGAGAGCCGATAACCTTTCTGGAGTATTTCTGCATGAATGTACAATCAGCCCCTCGCAGCTTGCTAAAATGTTTGGAGAAATAATGTAAGGAACGCATAAGTAGGATAGGCAGAACTGGACCCCTGGACCCCAGGGGTCATTTGACGTGTTCGCCGCTGTGGAGGGTGCATATGTGCTGGTGTGCATCTGGGCCTAGAGGCTTTCCACTGGCGATCGGAGCACCCAGCCTCTGCTGAGAGTGAACTCTAGTGTACAGTTTTCATACCCCTGAGAGAGAGCCAATAAATCTTTTTCTAGAAGCGGTTCACTTGTGGCCGTTTTCTTTTTTTGAAAGTGGGCATGTTGGTGGGGTCTTGGAAGGGCTTGAATGGGTTTCCTGCAATGCATCCTCCCCTTTAGGAACCGAGGAAGGATGGCAGCTTCGCCAAGGATTCCACCGAGGAGGTCAGACCCAGCCGAGGGGGAAGGGTTACGGGCCGGGGGTCCTGGAAGGATCTTTGTGAGACAGCGAAGAGGAGGATCTGCCTGAACCCTTCTGGGAGGGTCACTGGAACCTCACCAGGCCCCCTCCCCCTTTTAAGCATGCAAAGACCCCGAGGCGGCCCTACAGCCGCAGCCTTTGCCGTGAAGTCCCCCCAGCGGCCACCCTGGTCCCAGCAATAAGACGCAAAGTGATTGTAGTCACCTGCATACATGTGTATTTGCAAAAGGTCCTGTTATCAAGATATTGCTTTTTTTACATTTTCTGCTTCACATAACAATGCGTTTGAACATTTTCCAAAATAACTTGCCGTAACAATGACAAGGCTCTTCTTTCCTTCCCCCAAGTTATAAAAATACTTACAAAATCAATTCTTTTCTGCAACCGTGTGACAGAAACATCCCTGAAGTTCTTTTTTTTCCTCCCTTCTTAAATTATTACTCTTTAAAAAGCAGACCCTTTGTGGGTATTGCAAAGGTTCGGGGGATCCCAAAAATAAAATAAGATAAAATTTAAGAAGGGTGACCTGATCATTCACAGCAAATTAAGACCGCCAGTTGGAGACTTCCAACATTTCCATGCTTGGAAGGAGCAGAAACCAGAGCCTTCACGGCTAATTACACTTAAGGACTCCTGTGCAAATGGATGGCTTCGCCATATTTCCACACCTGTCTCTCCCTGCAGCTGGAAACCTAGCATGTCAGGGAGCAAGCTTCACTAATGTCATATAACCGTGCTGGAAAATGTTTCATTCAAGAGTAGCGAAGGTCTTTTTTAAAAGCTCTCACAGATACGGATAGTACTGATAACGGAGGGCTATTTCTACTGCCCTACGGGGAAAACGTGATTCGGGGATCTTCTGCACAGTGATGCAAGGCCAAGTTTCAATTGCCTAGCAGTTGTGTGTTCAGGAACATGCGCTGTTGCAAGCAACCTCAGGCTCTCACGGTTTATCCCCCCAGCCCCCTTAAAACCTGGTGACCCCATCACAGCCACTGCTTGCCTTGTCTAAGCATCCAGGCTAGCTCCCCACATACCTTTACCTCTTCAGAAACAAGAGAACCAAGCCTTGTTCCTTGAAGTGTGCAAACGAGGAGTAAATGCCTTCGTTTGGTGTAAGAAACCAGCATCTCCTGGGGTCTCCCCCCCCCCACTCCCTGGGTAAACCCCTGCTGTTGTGTTCAATGAATTCCTGCAGAATCGCAGGACGTTGGCGAACCCATCAAGGGTTTGGGCCGGCCCCATCTTCAGTCCAGCTTCCCTGGGGGACCTGGAAGGCCTCAGGCCAGCCGGCCAGAATCCACTTGTCCTTTCTGGAATCTTTCCTTTTTCTTCCCTGGTGTAGCAAGCCTGTAGTAGAAATGTGAATGAAGCAAGAGGGGAAAGAAAGGGTGGCCCTGTGTTGTTGTTCCTGGAAGAAGCCTAGGATCCGAGGGGGCTGCAGAGATGCCCCGGGAGGGATTGCCCCAGCGGGCAGAAGGGCCAGCAGCCCCCTTCGATGTCCAGGAGCAGATCTAGGAGCATTTTCTTCTGGGGAGGGGTTTCCCCATCCGGACCTTCTTAGCCTAACAGAGCAGGAGAGGCCCGGTGCTCCTCTGGCCTTCCCTGCCTGGAGCAGCCTCCCGGGCTCCGGGGGATGGGAGCTGGAGTCACAACCCGCGGGAGGGCAGGCCAACCCCTCCGGGCTCTCCTTCCTCCGACGGCCGGCCCTAGTCCCAGTAGGCGTCGAGCGGCTCGCCCTCGCTGTCCAGCCGGTAGAGGCCGAGCGCCGGGTCGGAGAGGAGCCCGAGGTCCACCAGCGCCTGGTCCATGTCGTCGGGCAGGAAGACGATGCCCACGTTGAGGGCGATGTACTCCAGCAGGAAGGCGTAGTAGAGGATCAGCAGGTTGACCAGGAAGAGGCCGGCGGAGAACATCGAGGGGGCGGCGGCGCCTGGCACCCGCCGGGACGCCCGATCGGGGCACGGGGGACGCTGCCAGCCCAGCAGCCCCGGCAGGGCGGCCCCTCCGGCCGGCAGCCCCCGCGGCTCTCCGGGCGCCGATGGCGGGACAGCGGGCAGGACCGTCCGGCGCCCGGGACTCTGGTCCCCGCGGGCGCAGCCGAGCGGCGGCGGGCGCGCCTTGCAGACGGGCTGCGGCGGCGCTGGGGCTCTTGGCGCGGCCCTCCTAAGCCCCGCCGGACGCCCCCCCGGCCATGGCCGCACGGCTGCTTCGCGCCACCCGCCGGGCTGCAGCGGGCAGGAGGGGCTCGGCTCGGCCGTCCGCGCCCAGACCTCAGCCCGCTCGCCCGGCCGCCTCCGCCTCCGCCTGCGCGGCTCCCGGGCCGCAGAGCGCGCCTCCGCGGGGGCTGCAGCGCGGCGGCGAGGGGGTTAAGCGTGACGCCGACGGCTCATTAGCATGCGCGCCCCGCCCCTCTTGGGTCACAAACGCACGCCCGTCTTCCGGGATGCCCGCGCGCAGGGGCCGCCGGGAAGGGGAGTTTGCGGCCGGTCCGCCCGACGTCGGGCGTCGGGGCAGGCGCGGGCGCGTAAGACTGCGCTTCCCGGCGTGCCCAGCGCCTGCGCGGAGCGCGAGAGGACGGCGGCGTCGGCGTCTGGCTACTCTGAGAGGCCGAGGGGAGGATGGCGGCGGCGGCGGCCGCTGAGGACGAGGCGACCGAGGAGGGGCAGCAGCGACAGCAGCGGCGGAGGCGGAGGCGGCGGCCGTAGGAGCGGAGACGCGCCTGCGGGGCCCGCGCACGATGTTCGGGCGGTCGCGCAGCTGGGGCGGCGGCGGGGGCGGCGGCGGGAAGGCCTCGCGCAACATCCACTCGCTCGAGCACCTCAAGTGAGTCTCCCCGCGGGACCCCTGCGCCCATCGTCCGCAGCCGGCCCCGGGGGGGCTGCCGGGGAGGCCGCTTGTGAAGCAGGGCCGGCGTCCTGGGCCGCTGCAGGACGGGAGGACTACAACTCCCGGGGCTCCCTGGGCAGCCGGGCAGGCTGGGGGCATTCTGGGAGGGGAAGGGCCGCCTTAAAGGGGGTGGAAGCGGCCCGCTGGAAGAAGCGCCTCCCGCACCTGCTGGGGCGGCGGCCTCTTTCCCGGGGCTGGAAGGCGGGGAGCGGGAGGCGCCGAGCAGCCGCCGCCGCCCCAGCCTAAGAAGGCCGCGAGAGACGCTGGGGGCCCAAAGGGAATCCCGTGGCTTTCTCGGCCCACCGGCCCTTGGAGGAGCCTTCGCCCTGCGCAGAGTCACCCCGAGGGTGGAGGAGAGGCGCATAAATGTGTCTCCCCCGCCCCCCCCCCCGCTTCGTGTGCCTGGACGTGGGGGGCGGGGGGGAGGCCAGTTGGACTGGAAGTCCGGTGTCCGGGGAGGAGAAGAAGGTCTCAAGGGGGACCTTGAGGTCAAGGAGCCCCCCCACCTCTTCCCTGCCTTCAGGCTGCCTCAGCCTTCCCTCCTCCTGGGGGCCCGGGGGGGCTGGGGGCTGGGGGCTGGCCCTGCAAAGGGGGCTGCCTGCCTTAAGAGCTGATGGGAAGGAGGCCTCTGGGCACCGCAGCTCCTTGCATTTGGGAGGGAGAGGCAAGGCAACGGAGCCAGCATGACCAGCAGTTTTAACTGCTGGGCATTTGTGGACTTTTCTCCTAAAGGTGTCAGGATTGGTGGTCAGCACTATATTTGTATTCATTTATTTTATTTTATTTATTTATTTATTTTACTACAAAGGCTGCCAAAATGACTTTCTGGCAGCCAGTCTGACAAGTTGGTTTTGTAAGTAAGAATTAGTTCCTTTCGGTGTTATCAGGTTATTCTAATCAGAAAATGAAGAAAGTGTTTTCTGGTACCCCTTTCTCAACCAGCATAATCTGTCAGGCTTCCCTCTTATTCGTTACCCCCATAAAAGGTCAGAAATTCTGCTGGGATATCTTATCACCTCCCTTGACCATCTTGGGGATTATTTTCATCAGCATCCCGTGCCTGTAGGAATTACGTGAGGTGTACAATACACGACACGGGCCGTGGTTTGTTTATTTTCATAGATTTCATAATTCTGTAAACTATTCACAAACACTTTGTGTAAAACAAATATATAGTTCAAGCTAATGATGCCTACATTTTATTTGCATCGGCATGGCCCCCTTCGGTACTTGCTGGCTTTCTAGGGGTTTCCTCTGGCCTCCCTTTAGCTGGGAGACCATTCTGATGGAACCCTTGATTGCTGTTTCTGCAAGGAAAATGTCTGAAAAAGAGAAGGAAGTAGAAGGGATGCTTTTGGTGCCAGGTAATTTGATTCCAGGGTGCCTCGTGCTAAATGAAGAACATTTAACAAATCGAAAGAAGAGACGAGAAGTGATGCGAATAGTTGGGTTTTTCTACAGTGGTTCAAAAGAGTCACAGATTCTCTCACACTTCAACATGCACAATCCTGCCAAGACCACTTGGAGGGCCCCATGTTTACTTTCTCGTCTTGTCTTTCAGGTATATGTATCATGTTTTGACCAAAAACACCACTGTGACTGACCACAACCGCAACCTATTGGTGGAAACCATTCGATCGATAACCGAGATCCTGATATGGGGAGATCAGAATGACAGTTCAGTGTTTGAGTAAGAGCTTGTATGATTTTGCTTTAACAAATACAGACTTTTTTTTTTCATTATGTCCATCTATTACATTATTGTTCCATGGATGTTTTATTTTCTGTAACTGCTAAGAATTATTTGACTGCAGTGGCCTGAGAAGCTAGTAAATATATCAGTATAGTTCTAATCATGCTGGTTAAAATATAGTTATCAATATCTTCACCAATATTGCATTCCAGCAATAAACATTTTAATGAAATTTCTCCAATAAGATATAGTAAATTGGTAAAAAATGCTTGCATTCCAGCTTTTTCTTGGAGAAAAACATGTTTGTGTTCTTCCTGAACATTCTGCGCCAGAAGTCGGGCCGTTATGTCTGTGTGCAACTTCTGCAGACTTTGAATATCCTCTTTGAGAACATCAGTCACGAAACATCCCTTTGTAAATATGCACATTTCTTTTCTCTTTATGCAAAGCAAGATTTTTGTTGAAAACCATTTGCTACATAAGCTACACGTGTAACTGGGGTTCTTGTTTTCTGTCCTGAAGATTGTAGAATTAGAGACGTTTTAAATCCATTAGGTATTAAATGTATTAAATACATTGGGAGTTGAGCTGGTTAATAATCTTCAACATACGGTACTGTTCAACCACTTAATTTCACTAAGTTGTCTGTGATGCCACGTGGTTTCTCTTTTCACAGAGAGACAAATTTTGCAAAAGACCTATGAAAGGAATCATAAAGTTTTTAAAAACATGCTTCTAAAATGTTTGACACTCTTGTTTTTCCTGAAAAAATAAACCGTAAACCATAAACAGGAAGTTCTCCTTTGATGCATGTCAACAGGTGCAGACAAGGCAGGAGAGGGCAGAGGACAGAAATAAGCGGGGAGGTAGAAGTCTGGATGGGCTTCTGGTGGTTTCTGAGGGGACAGTTCAGGGAGGACAAGGATAGCTGAAAAAAAGACCCGTCTGCTAGAATGGGTGGTGCGTATCCTTGAGTTTGCTGGCTTAATTTTTATACTAAACTGTATAGGTGGTCCTGGACTTACAGCAGTTCAGTTAGTGTCCAAAGTTAAAATGGCACCGACAAAAGCGACCGTTGTTTCACGCTTACGACTGGTGCAGCACCTCCATGATCACGTGATCCAAATCCGGATGCTTGGCAAATGGTTCATACTTACGACTGTTGCTGTGTCTGGGGGTGTCACGTGATCCCCTTTTGTGACCTTCTGACACGCAAAGGCAACGGGGGGGGGGGAGCCAGATTCACTTCACAGCTGTGTTACTAACTTAACAACGGCAGCAATTCACTTCATAACGGTGGCAAGAATGGTTGTTAAATGGGGCAAAACTCACTGAACAAATGTCTCACTTAGCAACAAATTTTGGGCTCAATTGTGGTCATAAGTAGAGGACTACCTGTATTTTATGCCTCTGTATTTTTCCCCTCAGACTATTTACTGTCCAACAACTACGTGAACTCTATTATTGTGCACAAATTTGACTTCTCAGATGAAGAAATCATGGCATACTATATTTCATTCTTAAAAACACTTTCTCTGAAACTCAACAATCACACTGTTCACTTTTTTTACAACGAGGTGAGTTACAAGTTGGAAACAAAACGCTGTTTTCGGTGAATTATTTTTGCTGGGAATTGGGCGAACCTTTTCTGGAACCTTTTCTTCTATAACAATGTATATTGTTGCCGAATGTGTACCTCAGAAGTGACCTAATTGTCCATTTCAAAACCTGTGAATATTTTCAAAAGATCCTAGTTGTTCCTGCTGGAGTTGTGGTTGAGGGTGTCTGGAGGGACCCAGGCCGAGGGACGAGGCTTTCAATTTCTGCCCCAGTGCTTGGGGGGCAGAGCAGGTGCCGGGGGGAGCGCCTGTACTGACCGAGGCCCCAGGTTGCCCTTCAACAGTCCAGCGTCTGACGGGGCAGGACAAAAGGGCACCCAGGGCATAAGCCATATTCTTTGCCGTCTTCCTCCTCAGCATACCAACGATTTTGCCTTGTACACCGAGGCCATCAAATTCTTCAACCACCCAGAGAGCATGGTCAGAATTGCCGTGAGAACCATCACGTTAAACGTCTACAAAGGTAAGCGTCTTCTTGGGTGGTTTCAGCACCACACGTGCCTTAACAGGAAGGAGCCGGGGCTTCCGGCAGTCCCAGATTTATCGGGTGAAAGTTAGACGGGGCAGATCCCGATTTGACCTAGTGGATCACGTGAGACACTCTTCTCGGAACCAGTGTTTTAAGCCAGGGCTGTCCTCTCCGGCAGGAGGAAGCGGTAGAAGGAGCTGGGGAAGGCCAGAAGAGAATACTCAGGGAATGGCCGCTGGAGGGCGCTCTTGGCGTGAGGTTTTGCAAAGTGAGAATCTCCGCGTTGCTTGATCAGGACCCAGAACAGCTTCCTGAAATATTTATTAGAACTTTTGACACACACACACCCCCTTCTGTCCTCTCTCTCTCATGCACTCTTGTTCATGAGTGAAGAAAATGACAGCTGAAAGCTAGAACTCAGCCAGATGTTTTCCACTGAAAGGACATAGAGGCAATGCGTCTCTCCGTTTTGCCCTAGGAATCAGGCATTCGAGGTAGCGTCAAGCATCCAGATAGTATCCATGATATCAATCACTCCAAGATGTTCTCTCTCCAATTGATTTAGTAAGGAACAGGTCTGGCACGTTCCAAAGCAGTTTCCCGAGTGAAAGCTTTTTCCCCGTGTTACACAGAATCCACCTTCTCTCCTCTCTTCCCTCCTCCCACTTCTACACTTCATAAATCACGAGAACCAATTAACTGCAACTGCAAATTCTTAATAGGACACACAGAATAACCTTGAACTTTTCAACTCCTCTAACTCTCAAAAAAAAATACGTGGCAGCTGAATTTCAAAGCTGACAGGTAGTTTTTAAGGTAGAGGTAGATTCTGGGCTGGCTTCTATGCTCATTTAAAGCTAGCACCCAGAATCTGTGGAATCCAGCAACAGAGGAGAGGGAGGGCCATCGGATTTGCCCATCTCTCGTGTAAAAAAAACTCCCATAAATTGACTCGAGCCACTTCCAAAGAGTGGTTTTGTTCACACACTCTAGACATGGTACTCAAACATAGATGGAATTTTATTTCTGTCCTCAGCTATGGACTTCTAGACAGTCTGAATGATCAGAGTCTTAATTATTTATAGAAAAAAAAAAGCTGGATATAAATCAATAAAATTAAGATAATAATGGATAGTCCCTGCCCTGGGATGTGCAGTTGAGGGGAGGCCCCCCTCCCCCGGTGGCTGGCCTTGGGACAGGGGTCTCTGAGGGCTGCCTGCTTGTTTCTAACTGCTCTCTTCTAGCCTAGATGCTTGCTGCTTTAGCCACTGACCTCCTTGGAGCTCCTAACCCTGTTAACCGCGCTGTCTTTCTTGTCTCTCCTCGTCCTCTCTGCACTGGTGCATCCCGTCTCCCTTAAAACAGTGTCATGTAAGTCTGCTGGCGGATTTTCCCGCCTGGTGCTGTTGCCCAGTTCCCTAGACCGCAAGCGGGGGCCATTCTCGGCGACGGCAGAGTCCAGCCGCTTTCAGCCTAATTTTTATCATTCGATTCATCTCTTGAAGGGGATGTTGACCTCTCCTGAAAACTGCCATAGAAATAGAATTGATTTTGGCCCATGCTGCCGAAAGCGAGTTAGAGGAAGGGATCCTCTCTTAAATTAGCATTGGGGGAAGAAATACATCAGCAGTGATCACCTTCATTGTTTGCCTTCAGTGAACAACCAGCCGATGCTGCACTATATTCGAGACAAGACGGCCGTCCCTTACTTCTCCAACCTCGTCTGGTTCATCGGCAGCCACGTGATAGAGCTGGACAACTGCGTCCAAACAGATGAGGAGTGAGCCTTTCTTCTTCACCCAGCGCCCTCTCTCTGGGGTCCGGGCTGGCGGTGGTGGCGGCGGCGGCTGCATATTTAGTCTGCTCCCTTTTTTGGCAGGCATAGAAATCGGGGCAAGCTGAGCGACCTTGTAGCCGAGCACCTGGATCACCTCCATTACCTGAACGACATCCTAATTATCAACTGTGAATTCTTAAACGATGTATTGACGGACCACCTGCTGAACAGCCTCTTCCTGCCTCTCTACGTCTACTCCTTGGTCAATCAGGAGAAGGTGAGGGGGGCGGGGGGGGGGGCTTCCCTTGCTCGAGGTGGCTTTACAGGAACCTGGCTGCCTTGCGACATCTCTCTGAAACCGTGCAACCGCAGGGAGCCTCTCCGTTGAGCCATAGAAGCAAACTTGCACTACCCCATTGAAATAACGATCGCTTCTGTCGTTGACCGTGCGCAGTTCACCCCGGGAGGGAGGGAACCGCTCCGCTTCACGGAGGCTCCCTCCCTCTCTCTCACCACTGTTCTTCCAGGGCCAAAAGCGAGGGAGAGCGGGAGGTCGTGACAGCGCAGCCGGCATCCTCATTGGACCGTCAGTTCAGTTGAAAGAGGGACAAAGGGCAGCTACCTCCTTTCATAACAGAAATTTCTAAACCCCTCTTGATGTCATAATGCGCATGAATCATCCTGTGGCTTGCCTTGGCTAATCACCCTCTGGGCAGCCGCAGAAGTTACTTCGTGGGCTCTGAGTAAAGCTTTTTGCCTTTTCCTCCCAGCTTGATTGTTGGAGGCTTTCCCTCCTTGCAGGCCCTGTCCCCGGGGGGGGGGGGGGGGGGCGCAGGGGGCACAAGCACGAAAGGAGGCCGCCTGCGTTCATGAGCAGCATGCGCCTGTCTCCCTTGCATTGACACCTGGCTGCTTCTCCAAGAAAAAGCAGAGCCCAGGAAGGGAGCTCCCTCCACGGCCTCTGGGGGCTCAGGCACTCTCGCTCTTAGAGAAGGGGATGACTGGGTCCAAATTCCCATGGTTTCCCCAAACGGTCGAGTGATGCTTCTGTTTTAGAAAGAGGGAAGCAGTGGGGAGAATATGGCAGACGTTTCCCCCGATCTCTTGGGCCTGTTTTGGAGAGCGTTTTTTGCGTGCCATTCAAAAATAAAAATGAATGCGGTCGGTTAATACATGCATTAACTTTTCCAGTGTTAAAGGCTGTTTCTTAATTGTTTCCTCCTTAGACTGGAGAACGGCCAAGAATAAGTCTCCAGGTCTCTCTCTATCTCTTGTCACAAGTAAGTGCAAACGATCCAGTTGACTGATTCTCGAGCAGCATTTCTCAAACTCAGCAATTTTTTAAATGGGCGGACTTCAGCTCCCAGAATTCCCCCCAGCCAGCATGGGATTCTGGGAGTTGGAAGTCCACCCATCTTAAAAGTTGCCGAGGTTTGAGCAACTCTGCTCTAGATTTTATTAAGAATTTGATAGAGGGCCACGTCGATTTTTTAACAATGATGTAGCAACTTGTGTTGAAACTGGCCCTGCCAGGGGGCAGGAGGTGTTGATCATTTTCAAGAGCGATTTGGGGGGGGGGGGGGGGGGGGGGGGGGGGGGGAGACGGGACTGTAAAGGACCAGGGTTAGAAGTGGGCTTGCTAAAAGAGTCAAGGCAAATAGGCAGGATGTGGTGTTTAATGATAGGTGGGCTGGGGTTGAGAACTCCTGATTAGCTACAGCTGGCTTTACAAACCACATTCCCTGTTGTGGAAAACTGGGTGCCCTTCAGCATGATGTCAGGAAGCAGTTGAATGTGAGATATTTCCCCTTCTTAGTCCTCCTCCCTCCCACGCGCCGAAGGAAACATCTCCCCGTGAAAGCAGCCTAAAGTAATTTCCCTTGTACCATAGCAGAGGGGAAAGTAGCAGGATAAATGGGAAGTTCATCTGGGTCCCCTCTCTGAGCCTCCTCCCCCAACAGTTTTCGCTCCTCTGCCTCTCCCACAGGTTTTCCTAATCATCCATTACGCCCCCTTGGTGAATTCGTTGGCCGAGGTCATTCTGAACGGAGACCCCGCGGTGTTTTCCCCCAAAGTGGAGCAGGACGTCCAGAAAAGCTCTGTGAGTAGAACGAATGTCTGTCAGCTCTCACGCACCTTCTTGGTTCGCTTGGCAGAAGACCGGGGCTGTGGCGTGATCTGCCTGGCATCGAAGGGGTTCGTGGGTGTCCTTGGTGGGGTTTTTTTTTCTTAAATCAGGCCCGATCTCGCATGCAAGCTGAAAGATAAAAAGCGCCATGGCGCATGGAAATGATCTCGTCTTTGTAGCACACAGACTCATTCTGGGCTTTTGCCCGCGTTTCTCTTCAGCGGGTTCTGTTACTGGGAAATCTGCGGTTAGAAGCTTGTCACCTTTTTTTCTGCTCTAGCAGTTTGACTTCCACCGAACGTCTTTTGCAGAATTACTCGGTCTTGTGCGTGTGTGTGTGTTTTTTTAAGTCTGTGAGAGGGTGAATTACTCGCAGCGGGTTGTAACAAGAGTGGATGTTATTTTAGTGGTTTTTCTAGGTAAATTTAATCCCTCAAAAGGCAGACATGTTGAAGAGCTAATCTGGGCATTTTTGCTTTATCCTTTACTGTACCCAGCAACCGGGGTTTACATTCTCGTAGCATGTATTAAGTAAGATGGGGGTGTTTTCCTAAAGCTTTGGAAACAGATCTGGACTAGGACAGTTATTGGAAATCTGTAAGTGGCAGAAATTTGATCCAGCTCAGTTTGAGCAGACCTGATACTGCCCTGAAACAAGCCCAGGTGGGTCAGATCTCCTGCGACTCCCAAAAGGTAGCTGGCCTCGTGTTCCCCCGATAAGAGAAACTTCTTGAGGGAAGGCGGGGAGAAGGACTGGCAAGTGGAGGGGGCCTTGATGACTGCCCTATAAGCAGCGGGGGGGGGGGGGGGGGGGGGTTATAAGGCTGGGGGGGTTAAGGAAGCCCCCCCCCCATTGGCCCAGGGGGGGGGAGGAGGGAACAAACCAGAGACGGAAGGAGGAGACAGCAGCCTCGATGGCAGCAGGGCTGGTGGTGCAGCAGAGCAGGAGGAACACGGGAAGTTTAAAGGACCATGTTGCTTCTTGGGAGAATCCCTGCCCACTTCCTCCAAGCAGCTCCGATGGCCACCGTGGCTTTGATTTTGGTTGCCCTTACAGATGGCACCGCAGGACACACTGCTGTTGGTAGGCGGGTTTTAGGCTCAAGCTGTGCCATCTTTAGATGAAGTGGGGGTAGGAAGTCGTCGGGAAAACCTTGATTTCCCTGAGCAGCTGGGAAAATTGAGTCGGCAGTTTGCCCCCCACTCTACCTTCACATCTCTTGGTGAGCTGGGTGATCAGCCCCCACGCCTGACGCACTCGTGTCGAAATCTGAGTGGTCTGGAGGAAGGCGCTTCTCTTGCTATGAGGCAGATCTCAGATCCGAGAAGCCGCCTGTGTTTCCAGCCAGCAGTGGGAAGTGCCAGAGGAGGGTGGGGGTCTCCTCCTCCTCGCCGTCTGGGGCCACTGAGTCACGCGTCTTCGCCTGACACCCACCCAAGGCGCCTCAAAGTCACACTCGGCCTTCGCTTGGCCTTCTTTGAACTGGTTTTGCTCTGCTTCCTGCCCCAGTCGGATGTGGCTGGTTCCTGCCGCTCTGCGCCTGGTCTTAACCTACTTTCGCTCCTTCCTGCAACCCCGAGGGGGGGCTGGAAAGGTCGGGCTTCTCAAGCAGGTGCTGCAGCCTACACTGAAATGTGTCCAGTAGGCGGGTAAGCAGCCTGGCCCAAGGAGACCAGCGGGGACAAACGTTTGGTCTCTGCGTGATTTGCTTCTTAATCTCAGCTGAAAGACTCTGCTGAGCTCAGGAGAGTTAGGAAGCAGGTGGCTGTGTCCCCGTGAATAACTGCACCCCCGAACTGAACAAAGATCCAGCTCAGGGGATCTTTAAAACCCAACAGACAGAAACCTTTTCCTAGGCTGAGAGCTTTTCCAACTGTGATATCTATCGGCCTTCTTTCTTCTTTGGACTGTGGGCTTTCAATTGCACGAAAGATTGGAGACTTCCCGGATTGTACCCTTGAATCTGCTTTAGTGTCTGTCAGAAATCTGTGGGGCAAGAATTAAGCCAGCCCGAGCCCTCATTGACCACTCACATTTACAAGCAAGAAAGTGCCATTCGTACTTAGAATTGTGGCTCGGTCGGGGATTGATTGGATTTCCATGAAACCGAAGAAATACCATAGTGAGGTGGGGCTTGGCTCCTGTTGAACAAGATTCTTGACATGGAATAAAATGGTGCAGGTTTGTAGGAGTCAGTGAGTCAGCCGTCTGTAGTGGTCCTTGCAAGGCAAGGCTTTTCTTCGAGGCTCTTGTGGGTTTACAGCCCTCCGGGGTAATCCTAAAAGCTTCCAAACAGAGGACCGTGACACGTCCCCCTGCCTCCATGAGAGATGGGGTGGCCCCTTAAAGGCTGTGGTGTAAGAGCACAGAGTTGCTGGCCTCCTTTGTCCTGTCCCGTTCTTGCCACATGCTACGGGCGAGGAATCGGCCACCAAGAGGTTGTGTTTGGGGAACCGAAAGGCTGCTTGGCATTTCCTTTTTTTTCGGGGTGAACTCCTGGCTTTTCTCCATTTGAATCTTGGCCTGTTCCTTTGGTTAGGAAGGTCGTGGAGCATCTGACTTCCTTCTGTTTATGTGGCTGTTTTAGGTCAAGGCGGGCATCAGGTGCTTCATTAAACCTTCCGAGACCCTGGAGCGCTCGCTAGAAATTAATAAACAGAAGGGGAGAAAGAGGCTGCAGAAGAGGCCCAACTATAAAAACGTTGGGGAGGAGGAGGAGGAGGAGGAGAGGGGCCCGGAAGACACCCCGGAAGGCACCGAGAGCCCCTCCAAGGGCCTCAAGCCCAGTGGGGAGAGTGAAGGTGAGAGGGGCCCCGCCTGCCCGTTCCTGCCCTCCTGGGCCTGGGGAGTTGGCGTCAGGGTGGCTGGACAGCCGAGTGCAGCTCCCCTCTTCTTTTCCTGCTCCTGAGTCTCCAGGCTGTCTTGGCCGGCCTTGCCCGCCCACTGCCCTTCTCCCAGGGCCTGCAGCTGCCCTGTGGGGAGTCTCCTGGGCCAAAGTGGGGCTCCCCTCCCGCTGCAGAGTGCCTGGAGAGGAGGCTGGCTTCAGCCCTTCCTGGCCTGCTGGTCTTGATCGCTTCAGTCAGATTCCTGGGCTTACAAGTCAGCAGATTCCTCCTTCACAATCGGGGCCCCAGGACCCTCCCTGCGGGATTCCTTTGGCCAGATCCCCAGGACCTCTTCCCTTTGGCCAGAATCCCAGCCACCCCTGGGCAACGTCTGCTTGCCTCTGTCTAGTCAGATAAACCCGTCTCTAAAATGTCTCTCTGTCTCTTTTCAGAAATCGAGATGGTGATCATGGAGCGTTGCAAACTCATTTCTGCCACAGAGCAAAACATAACCGACGAGGAGAAGAGCGCAGCTGCCTCCGCAATGTGCAGCTGGAACAGGTAGGCGAGACGTCTGGCCAGGCTCTCCCCCTGCCTCTCTTCTGCGATGGGATCCTCAGCTGGGATCCACACTAACCCAGCAAGGCCAAGGCCCCCCCCTCCCCTGGTGGATTTCTCCAGGGACCCTTTGGATCATTATAACTCAGGCCCCCGTAGGGAAATATGGCACTATCGGGCATGCGAATAAAAGGCAGAATCCTCAGAAATGGGGTTTTTTGTTTTTTTTAATTAAAAAAAAAATCCTCTTTTTTTCTCCCCAGGCCATTTCTGGAGATGGTGTATAATGCCCTGGAGTGTGCCGATTTTGACTACTACGCTCTTTTTGTGTTGTGTCTCCTGTACGCCATGTCCCACAACAAAGGCAAGTCTCCGTGAGGGGGACCAAGGGCTGCTGCTCTGACCCCTTTGGCCAGCCAAGGCCCCCTTCCCTCCCTGGTTTGGTCCACCTGGGTCCCTAATTTGCATCAGCAAAAGAAGTGAGATTTTTGGAGGGGAAGCGGTGGGTGTTTGAGCCGCACTTCTTCTCGGGCGAATCATTGAAAGTCTGCCATCCACCACGGGGACAGAAAGCTCACCTCGTCCCCCCACCCCAACCCCCCCCCCCGTGACCACTCGTTCCTCTCCCTGGTTTCTCCTTCCCTAAGATGCAGCGCTTCCACAGAATCGGTCCCTGGGGCCCAAACGTTTGGCGACACTCCTGAGGTGGAGTTCCCGAATTGGTTAAATGCAAGTCAGAAATGGAAATTCTCATGGAAATTCAGGGCCACCGAGTTCAGGGCTGGTTGATAGGAAGTGCAAACTATTCTGTGCGCATCACAAAAGGGTGTCCCCTTTGTGTAGAACCACAGCGTCGGAGGGCTGTCCTTGACGCTCGGCAAAAGGTCACTACTGACACAAGCGTCGTTGAATGAGGCTGACCTGTTTCAAAGCCACCTTTCCTGAGGAAGAAGCTCGCTGCGCTACAAGAACAGCTTGCTGTGTTAATGTGGCTTTAAATAGCTCGTCTGCTCCAACCAGCGTCAGTTAACTGATCTTCTCAGTTCCTCAGCTCATGCATACAAACACCTGTAGCTTTTCTTGGTCTTGGCCGTCGCTCTCAACCCGCAACTGCAGGGGACCTTCGTTTCATTTCACGTCCTGGCAACGGGACGGATACCGTTGCCGGTCTGTAGCTTTCTCTGCCTTCTCCTCTGCCTTTCGATGCCCCGCGGGGCTTCCTCTTCCCAAGGGAAGAGGAGGCAAAAGAGGCGCCGATGGTGACCCAGCTGTGCTGCTGAGCTTCTGGTGCCAATGCTAAACACCACGAGGGGCAGCTTTTGGCTTGGACTGCAGGCACTGGAGGCCTCCGTGGGTGACCTGGGCTAGCCCTGCTCTTGGATCCGCATCGTCTTTGCCCATCAGAGAGTCTGGTGAGAGCGCACTTTGTATGAAGGAAGGAAGAAGCACACCCGGAGGAAGTTTGAAGCGGTTCTCAAGACGTTGGGTTAGGCTTTATCAGCCCTTCCCCCCCCCCCCCCCCTTTAGCCCAAGGATCAAAAGCACCAAGTGGTGCCCTTTACATTGTCAGGCACAGGAAGGGAGGCGGAGCGGCTGCTTGAGGGGAAGGACCACGTGGTCCCAAGACTTTCAGGTGCTTGTCAAGGCCATATGAGTTGGAGGGAAGCTAAACACGAATTCAGTTGATAGGAGGGAGGGAGGGAGGGAGGGAGGGAGGCGGGTCGGTTCGCATTGTGGGAATGGGGCTCTACTCTATCACCCTCTTTATGAGCAGCCCAGAGTTGGCTTAAAGTTGGGTGACACCCAAATCTAAATAAATAAATCCTCACCTCCGAAGCTTTCCACATTTTTGTGGGGGCGGCTTTGAGGAATTGTACTGCAAGCTGAGCTGCCTTTTGTTTCTTGGATTGTTGGTTCCTCGGAATTCCTTTGCTAAACAAAGGTCGACTTGGAACTGCAACATTCGGTTTTCCTGTTTCTCCCAAGGAATCAAGCCAATCACCCTGGAGAGGATTCAGCTCTCGGCCCAGGACGCCGAGGAGAAGAACTCCTACAACCCCGGCCTGGCAGAGAGGCTCATCAGGATCATGAGCTACGCTGCTCAGCCAGGTAGAGGGTTTACCGTGGACCACCTTCGCTTTCCAGCAGTCCGTCTGGGAATGGGGCAGCTGTGTGTGGTCTAAAACAAGTTTCTGAAAGAGGAGGAAACACGCAGCTTTCCTCCCAAGAGCCATTTTTGTCAGTGAAAGCAGAAACCAGCAAGCAGCTGTTTAAAGACCCCGGGAAGAGTTAACCTTCTTTGGCAGGCAGCCGTTCCAAGCCAAGAGTCTCTTCCAGGACAGAGAACAGACCCGGTTTTTGATGGGAGCTCATAAAAGGTGGACCCGCCTGTCCAGAGCTTCTCTCCACCATCAGCAAAGAGAAAGGCTGCTATCGCCCCCTTGGACTAGTAAAAAAAAAATCAAAAATAGCCCACACAAACCAGTTTGGCAGAGGACTGAATCATTCTGTTCCTTTTCTGCCTATGAGTACAATTCTGGCTTCTTAATGCCTGCTAGAATTTCCATCCACTTTCCTGTAATGTTCCTATCTTCCGGGGCAGAAAGCATCTGGCTGTTGGGGTGGGACAGGTGTGAACTGAAACTGGATTTGCTGGGGGGGTGGGGGGGGGGGGTAAAAAATTAAAAAACCGACTTCTCCCGCCCCCTTTTTTCTTTCCCCCCCCCCTCCCCCCACAGATGGCAAAATCCGCCTGGCCACCTTGGAGCTTGGCTGCCTCCTCTTGAAGCAGCTGGTGTTCAACAAACACGGCAGCATTATCAAAGATGTGCACCTTGCTTGTTTGGAAGTGAGTCTTTTATTTAGAAGAAGAAGAAGAAGAAAACACGGCCTCCCAGGGGTGGTTTGTCCTGTTGGGCGGATCTCTCTTCCGAAGTAAATGGTCGAAACGCGGGAGACCATTTCCCCCTTGGGCGGCTGGAGCCGGTCCCTGCTTTTCCCAGCAAGCGCAACGGTTCGCGGGACTCCGAGGCTCCTCTCTGTGAAGCTGCTTCTCTCCCTCGGCGGCTGAGTCCAGCCCCACCACCACCACCCCGCCTTGGCCCTGCGACCTGAGCGCCTTTGGACTTGCGCCCCTGGCCAGCAGCAGTTCCCTCTTCTCTCGCTTCCGCCCAGGCTCTGTGCTCCTTATTAGGGAGGGCCAGGCTTTCCTTTCTTAATCATTTTCAGAGAGCAAATAGTCCCTGTTGCGGAGGGGAGATCGTGCGGGGAGGCGGCCTGTTACTTCTGGGGTCCTCAGCCTGTTGTGTCCTGAACTCTGAGGGTTTTTCCTCTCTGTTTAAGGGGGCAAGAGAAGAAAGCGTTCACCTGGTGCGGCGTTTTTACAAGGTAACCTCCCGCCCTTTAACTCCCTCAAACCGAATTCTGGAGACACCCAAGAGAGCTGGGCGTGACTGCTCAGTTTCCAGAGAAGCTCTTGCAACCGGACGCCCGGCATTTGATCATTTCTCTCCTGCTCGACAGAACTTTTTAACAAAAATGTCCCGGGTTCTGATCAGTTGTGGCCTCTGAGCCACTTCAGGTTCTGAATGTTCCTGCCTTGAATGATTCCTCATAAAGGTGGCGTGGAGCAAACACAGTTTCCAAGCTGGCAGATTAGCTAGATGGAATAATTATCTGGCCATTATTGAAAGGGACCCCTCCGTGGGGCTGGTCTGACAGAGGCTGGTGGATCATCATTTTAAAGGTTTAAATAGTTGTGCAGGAAGGCTGTCTGGCTGTCAGGTGTCCCCGCATGTCTACAACTGATTCAATCGAGGGCTTTAGATACTGTTGGTAGCGAATCGGTGTCAGAAACGTGTTGGTGTCGTGTAAAGCTGCTGAATTGGTCTTTCACTCGCAGGAAACAAAGGACCAGGAACATGAGAGAAACACTTCAAAAGCAGTGGCATCATTAAGCACGTGCCCTCTGTTACTGGCAGGGCAAATTAGGGAGGAATAACCTTTCCTCCTGATAAATATTTCTTTAAATAGAAGAAGTAAATTGGTCTTGGGAGTTGCACTCATTCCTGTGTGGGGCAGAAGTAGATTTTCAAGAAAGTGGGATAATGGAAAGGAAGGTTGATTTAAGCTCCTCACTAAAGAAGAAACATTCCCACGCTAAAAATGCCCAGGCAGAGAAAAAAATGAAACCCTTTACTTTCTTTAAAGGGAGAAGAAATTTTTCTGGACATGTTTGAAGATGAATATAGAACTATGACCGTAAGTAATAAACAAATTGCCAGAGAGATAAAAAAAACTGGCAAAGTGGATCATGGTTGCAAACATTTAAAAAAGTTTTGTTTAAAAGCACTATTGTTATTAGCCTTTTATCAGTCACCTTTTGAGAAAAGGGAAGGAAGTATTGAAGAAGGCCCATAAAATAGGCAAAATATCAATTAAAGATGAATACGCTGCATAAATGGAGCAGTTGAGCAGGGAGACAGCTGGGTGTGTTGGCAGAGCTGGAGAAGGGGTGAATCTGAGCTGGGGAAAGGGTGACCCTCCCTGTTCCACCCCAGTAGCTCTCGTGGGGGGCGGGGGGAGGCCCCAAACCCTGAGGGCGGATTAAAGAGAGCCTCTCTTTAAGGGTGGATTCTTGGCCACATCCTGAGAGACCGGACCCTTCTGTGGGAAGGGCTGCCTTAGTCTTGTTGTGATCTCCTCCTCCGAGGAAGAGGAGGAGGAGGTAAGATGGACGGGTTTGGGCGTGAAGTTGAGTGTCGCGTTTCCTCTTCCAGCTGAAGCCCATGAACGTGGAATACTTGATGATGGACGCTTCCATTCTGCTGCCGCCCACGGGAACCCCTCTTACGGGAATTGACTTCGTGAAGAGGCTCCCCTGTGGCGACGTGGAGAGAACCCGGAGGGTGAGTGCGCCTTCCTTGAGGCTTTGCCCTTCAGGCCTCGGTGTTCAGGGGACACGGGGGGTCCCCTGCCTTCTCCTGGAGCCCCTGCTCAGCTTGGGGGAGGCTCGCCTGGATCTCTCCTAGTTGGCCCCTCTGGACCCCCTGCTCGTGCCCTCCGATTGACGTGACTCTGCCACTGTGGGGACTTGCAGCGATTGTGCCAGCAGCTCCCTTCCTGCCTTCTCTCCCTCAAAGGAAACCTGCTCGGACCCTGATCTCCATGAACTTTTGCAAAGGATGATGGGAAAGGAGAGAGTCATGAGGGGAGGGCAGAGAGATCGAAGCAGTCAGAGTCAGGGAGGGGGGATTATGTTCGCCCCCCACGTGTGGTTCAGGCTAGGGAAGTGCGCAGCCACCTCTGTCTGCATGTGGAGCATGACAAAAGTGTTGAAGCGTGTCAAGCCCTGTTGCAACGAAAGGAGCTTCTGAGAAAGGCCTGCGTCACAGACTCCGTAATCGGCTTGCTGTAAAGAAAACAAATGCCCCCCCCCCTCCCCCCCCGCCTCCACTGCCGGGTTAGAGGGGTTCTGGGGTCCCCAGGCTCTCCTTCCTGTAAAGCTGCCAATGAGAAGCTGCATGGCTGCCCTGGCGGAATTCCTGCCAGACGGTCCCTTTTCTGTTCTCCTGCCGTCCTGCGTGCAAGTGCCCAATCGGATTGCTGGGCTGATCAAAGCTGGGGGGCTCTGCTCTCCGCTACTCTGAGTGGGCTGTGCCTGGGGAGGCAGGAGGTGGGAAGCCAGAGAAGAGCGGAGAACGTGAAGAAAAGATTTCTTGGAAATCCCAGCTACCAGGCTGGGCTCTGAATAGTTCTCTCTATGCCGCTCTTATCGCCACCTTATCTCTTATCTTGTTTTTCACTCTGCAGGCTTCTGGGAAAGCAGAGGAGCCTTTTTCCTAGAATAAAAGAGACTCTCTTTTTTTTTTTAAGGGGTTTCTGAAGGGGTCATGAAGAAAAGCCACATTATCAATCTACTTGTAATGAATCTTGGATCGTTTAGTCTTGAACAATTAAACACATAAACAGATAATCAGAGTTGGAAGGGCCTCCCAAGCGGGAGACCCCACACCATTTCTGACAGATGGCAGCCCAGTCTCTTCTTGAAAGCTTCCAGGGATGAAGCTCCCACAACTTCTGAGGGCAACTTCTGTTCCATTGGTTGATTGTTCTCACTGTCAGAAAGTTTCTCCTTATTCCCAGGTTGAATCTCTCCTTGTTCAGCTTCCATCCATTATTCCTTGTCTGGCCTACAGGCGCTTTAGAAAATAACTTGACCCCTTCCTCCTCCCTGTGGCAGCCCCTAAAGAAAGGTTAATGTTCCTATTTTTGATAATAGTTGGAGCAAGACTTTTAGGTCTTAAAAGTCTCCATTCTCAGAGATTTTAGATCTTCTCTCCAGAATTACAAGGTGGTGATAGTCTTTGTACGCAGATTTTGTCCTTACAAACAAAGGTTGCATTCTAAAGCATGTAAATAAGGTACATTAAAAAATTGTCTCTTTCTGTAGGAAGCCACAAACCACATCCCTTTGCAAACTCTTGGTTGAGCCTTGAGTAACTACTTGATTTTTGCCAGCATACCTAAAAATGACCCAAGTGACATTTTCAGGCTGAATTCACAAAACCCACCAAATCCTTGAATAAATAAGATACAATTGCTGTGGCAATTTTACATCCTTTGCCCGACAATTAAATCCACCTGCGATCAAATGGGATGTTTAATGTATTCTGTCACCCAGTTTATTAAGCCATGAAGGCCCCTCGTCTAGCGAAGGTTAATCATTCTGGCTTTGATAGTTGCTGTTTCCTGCATTTTTTGGCTGCCTTTGAAAAGGCCGCAGAGATGAGAACTGATTGAAAAAGAAATTGCCAAGCCAGCAAGTTCTGAACTGTAGTGCTGGCTTCCTGTTTGATTTGGGACCCATTCATGATGTTGACCAGGGAAGACCTCGGTGGTTTCGTTCCCCCACTTACCCACCATTTTAAGATCCCATCAAGGGCCGTGTTTGAAAAAATCCAGGTGCAACTGCCTAGGATAGGCTTCTTGGTGTCTCTCTCACACCTGTTACAGATGTTTCCAGTTGCATACGTGCATACAGAGAGACACCCCTACAGCCCCTAGCAGCTCCTAGGAGAGGCTTCATCTGGCACCTTCAAGGGCAACGTTAGGTAGCCTACCCAGCCTTGCACCTTCCAACGTCCTGGTGGAATCCTCCTTATCTTCCCAGGAGCCCAAACTGGGCTCAGGAAAAGAAAATTCAAGACTACATATTGTTTTTTCTTTTCTTTTTTTCAAAAGCTAATGTTTCAAAACCCATTTCAATTATCACTTTTACTGATAAGGACTAGTTGTTTTTATCTAGCAGCAAATTCACAATGGCTTTGGGAGTTAATGATTTGCCAAACGGGCCGGGCTTATAGTAAATTGTTTCCCCCGTTCTTTGTCATCTGTTCGATCATACTATGGAAGTGGAAAGCAGTGGCAGCCATTTGCAGGGTTGATGTTTTTTTCTGGGTTTTTATATTTTTGTCTTCTCAGAAAATGGGCACAGCACATGCAGAGTAAAGTGCCTTTCCCCTCCCCATCAATCACCCGACAGCTGACCTGGTTCCCAGCCAGCCTAGCCTGTGAATGCAGTTCTTTTGACCAACTGGCCAAGGATGGTGACATTTGGAGCCACCGTCCCCTGAAGGGTGGGGAATGCTGGTGTGGAGCAGTGGAGCTGGCTCTTCCCATCCAGCCCTGGGGAGATGATTAAAGAAGCCTGCGGTTCTTGGACCAAAGAACTATGGGCTGGATTTCTAGCTGTTCCTAATTTCGCCCCCATGCTACCATCTCTTGAACTGCTCCTGTGTACCTTTATGGCAGGCTACTCAAAACCCTTTAAAAAATCCAAGGGGAAATGAATTGGCTGGCCATGAAAAGCTGGCCTTTTCTCTTTTTTACACAGAATATTCAGGGCAGCTGCTTTAAAAGGCTGTTTTATGTTTTCTTGTCATCGCGTATCCCGCTTGAACTTCTTCATGGTTGCCTCTTTGTGCCTTCAGGCCATCCGAGTGTTCTTCATGCTGCGCTCTCTGTCCCTGCACCTTCAGGATGAGCCAGAGACTCAGTTGCCTCTGACGAGGGAGGAAGACTTAATTAAGACAGACGACGTCCTTGATCTGAGTGAGTAGCCCCCCAGGAGAGAAGCCAGCCGGGAGCTCAGCTCCCTGGAGAAAAGGAAAAGGAAAGGCGATCGTTCTCCATCATTGTTTTGGTTCCTCCTGCTTTCAAGTTCTCTGCTTTCAGAATGCTTGCACACACACACACACACACACACACACACACACACACACCATGCTTGATTGACGGCCTCCTTCAGTGCACAGTGTGGTCTTAGTAGGTTGGGAGGGAAAAAGATTTCGGGCGATCTTCATCATTCTATATGGTAACCATTGTTACAGATCATAGGTATGCAGCATCCGGAGGACCAGCTGAGCTGAAAGAAGGCCATTTCGTCCCTGCAAGTGCCATTGTGTGGCTTTGTGTGTGTGTCTCCTAATCTCCTCCTCCCCTTTTGTCTGGGAGAGGTGAATCACTTGTCACAGTAACACTAACTGGAAATCCCAAAATAGCCCCTTGATGTTCTGGTAATAACTCTTTATTGTGACGATAAAGAGGGTGTGCTAGGAAATGCACTGCCCTCGCGTCCCTTTGGGTACATACGGCTCCTGTGAAGAGAAAAATGTCAGTCATATTTATGGTAGTAATCATAAAAGAATTTATTTTACTGTAAAGGGTATTTTAGGAAGTTGAACTCTGCATTGTTTGACCTGGTGGCCCTAACGAAGTGAGCAGGAAAGCCCAGATGATTTCAAGCAGCCATTCAGTCCTCTTCTTCCTGCTGCCGCCGAGGACTTCCTCACCCAAAGTCCAGAGAAAAGGCCCTTCCTGTTGCCATCTGGACTCTGGGTCAGTGGCAGAGATTCAGGGAAAACCGCTCCTGGACAAGCAGTGGCTGGGAGAGGAGAGGGGAGGGCCAGACCCAATTGACGCGGGTCTCTCCTCTTCCGGTCACCCTGCTCAGCAGTCCCACTGCAAAGGGGTGGGGGACATGATGGACATAAGGGGAAGGGGAGCCCCTGGGAAGGGGAAGGCCAGGGGGCCTTCGGGCCAGATGGTGCTCTCTGCCCCTGTGCTAGGACAGGAGGAGGCTGCTCTGCGGTCCCTTCTTGCCTTCCCCCTGGGAGCTTCTGGACTCTCGGGAAAAGGCTTCCCCGAGCAGAAATTAAACACGCTTGCAGACTAACTGGGTATAATGACAACTTACCTGTCAACTCTTTTATATGGATGTGCTTGAAACAAATCAAATTACAACATTCCTGCTGGCTTTCAAAACGGAATATTATTGCTTCTTGTATATTGATTTTTCTATTAGTACCTGCTTTGCCCTCCCTCTCCCTCTCTCTGTTTTTTAATTTTCAGTAATGCTCATTGATGTGGTTTTAATGTCTATTCCTGTAACCCTGACTCCGTTTCATAGAACAATCACCATTGCGCTTGGGTGCATTAAAGCGCATTTTGCAATTCAGTTCCCAACATTCTGATCGCAGTTATTGCCGTGATTAAATACTAGTTCGGCTATTTTTCCTGGAAGCCAAATTCTGTTCTGTGGAGATTAGTTGTCTTTGGCCTCAATGAGACCAGCTGTTGGTCCGTCCGTTCTGCCTGTGTGGAGTGAGAGACTGACCCCCGGCACTCAGTGGGCCAGCCAGGCGGTTCCAGCCGGGCGCCAGGCAGGAGCTGCAGCGATGGTGATTCTTCCCCATCTCAGCCGCCGAGTGCAACCCCAAACTTTCCTTCCGCACCTGCCAAATGTTTGTCCTGGCACTTTGCTCTGGGGGATAACCGTGAACTTTAAAAGAGGCACGCTGACATGCCCTCGCACCCAACCCGCGTTTAGTCCTCTTCTGCCGAGGGGGAGGACAAAGGATAATCAACGCTGGGCAAAGTAGACGCCGGTGGGCAGCACAGAGAGGTCCTCATTCCAGCCTGTCTTCGGGGTGTCAGACGTGGGTCCTTTCTGGGATAAAAAGTCCCGGGCCAAGGGGTGAACCTCCCAATGAAAATGGTTGGAGAGAATGCAGCTCAGGAGTTCTCTTTCGGGGGAAAGCCACTGGATCCCCTCGGTAAGGGCTCTCCTTCCTGCTCTTCTTCCTTCAGATAACAGTGATTTGATTGCCTGCACCGTGATCACCAAGGACAGCGGTCAGGTCCAGAGGTTTCTGGCGGTGGATATTTACCAGATGAGTTTGGTGGAGCCAGATGTTGGGCGCTTAGGCTGGGGAGTCGTTAAATTTGCTGGCCTTCTGCAGGTGAGCCTAAAGTTTGAGGATGCTTCTGGTTTTGAGCAGCCTAGAGCAGGGGTCTCCACCCTCGGCCACTTTAAGACATGTGGATTCAACTCCCAGAATTCTGGGAGTTGATGTCCACAAGTCTTAAAGCGGCCGAGGTTGGAGACCCCTGGCCTAAAGGACAGCACAGGTGTCGGCATGTCCTGGCAAACGGACCCTGCAGCCCTGTTGCAACAAAGCCTTCCTTGGCCACTGGTGGCGAGCAGCTCGCCCCCCTCCCCCAAGTGGAGAGGGTTCGTCTCCTGCCCAGAAAAGCCCCCGAACTCCTTGGGGGGTCCCGAGGCGGAAGGTGCGGAGACGACTCCTGGGTTTGTCAGATGAGAGGGGCAACTGGGGTGTTTCCAGAGCAGGGATCGGTAGCCGTTTTCTATTTCACCCTCTCGAAGCCAGGTGCCTTACCTTTTTCTGGCCCAACGCACCTGGGTGGCTGCTGGTGCACACGGTTCCCTGCAAGAGGAGACTTGCCAGTATTTGTTTCCCGTTTATTGACACCGTATTTGGGGTTCATCATTTGCCGTAATTGACTGGCTCCACCCAACATGGGGAGTCAGCTCAAGGAAAGATCTAGCAGCTGCCTGGGCAGAATCCCTGGCGCTCAATTTGTATTCATCGTGGTGGTTTCGTGTCTTATGCAAATCCAGCCCCTTCACTTAGCAAACCTGTTCTGTGTATCATGCAAGCAGAAGAAGTGACTCCCGAAGCTAGGCTAGCGGGTTGTGTGAATGCCGTCAGTGGGACGCCCCCTTGCTTAGAGAGCAGAGCGGGCCGCTTTGGCGGCAGTGAGAAAGGCTGCCTTGTCTTTTGCAAAGGTAACTCGGGTGCCCGGGCCAGATCTTGGCTCTCAGCTCTGGTCTCTGCTGACCCCCTGCGTTTCCTTCCTTGCCCCTTCCAGGACATGCAGGTGACTGGAGTGGAAGACGATAGCCGGGCCCTGAATATCGTCATACACAAGCCGGCTTCCAGCCCGCATTCCAAGCCCTTCCCCATCCTTCAGGCCACCTTCGTTTTTTCAGATCACATCCGCTGTATCATTGCGAAGCAGCGCCTGGCCAAGGGAAGGATCCAGGCCCGGCGGATGAAAATGCAAAGAATAGCAGGTACCGGCCTGGTCCCCTCGTTGCTCTCGGGGTCCCACTGGGCTTCTTCCCCTCTTGCAAACAGGGCACATCAGTCGGAAGCCCTTCTTGGTTCTCACTTTCCTTTTCCGGGCTAGTCTAGAGAGAGCCGTTGTGGAGACCCAGCTCCCAGGTGATAGTAAACCAGCCAGGGAGGAGCACTTACCTGCAAAGGGAAGAGAACTTAAGGCCTTCCAGGCAAGGGACCGGGGTCCCTGCATGCTCGTGCAGTCTCGGCTTTCTTGGCTTCTTAGCCAAACCGTAACATGTGTCTTCTTGAACCCAGCGCTTCTGGACCTGCCCGTCCAGCCAGCCAATGAAGTGATGGGCTTTGGACACAGCTCAGCCGCCACCTCACACCTGCCATTCCGGTTTTATGAGCAAGCCCGACGGAGCAGCTGTGACCCAACTGTGCAGCGCTCAGTGTTTGCCTCGGTTGACAAAGTCCCAGGTAAGCCCCCCCCCCCCCCCCCCCCCCCCCCCCCAGGTGCATCTTAGGTAAGACGCCACGGTGAGGTTACCGCATTGTGGCAGAGGAAGGTGTGACCTGGTGTTCTTTGGCATTCTCTTTCTGCGATAATATTTGTGTTATTTTTAGATGCATCTTCGTTTAAAAATCTTCACTTTGCCACCCTGTAGCAAGAATGCTGCCAGGGTAACATGAGAAGAAAAATCAGAATCCAAAAACACAATAAATGAAATGAGTTAAAATGCAAAAATAAAAAAGTAACCTTTTTTAAAAAGAATAATTAAAACTTGATAGTGCTGTTTACATACAAACCAAAAGAAACGCTTTGAGGAACTGTCCTGGTGGGCACTTGGGGGGGGGTGGCGTGCGGGTGGGGAGACTCTTGAGGGCTTATAGCAACCTGGCATCTCCCCAGCAAGATTTTTTAAATGCTCCAGATATGTGCCAATGTTGCCTTGTTGTTTCTCTAAAGAAGTATTTATCGGAGTCTGCTTGGGAGGGAGCCTAGTTGGGAGAGACTTAAAAGTGTGTGAGAAGAACCCCGTGGGTAGCAGCTGTTGCGTTCAGATTATTCAATATCCTTTGTGGTCCTTCATTTCTGGTTCTGTTTTATATATCTATATACGCAGGAGCCTTTAAGCCTGGTGCTTCTATTTGCAGTTGACTGTGTTGTGTTTGTTACGTCTCTGGCTTGCGAATCCCGTAGAAGTTGTCTCCTGAAACTCTCTGCTTTTGTTGATTAAAACAGATTAAACTCAAAACCTGTTTAAAATCTTCAACTTAATAAAGATAGGAAACCATGCTGTTTAAATCATTAATTTAAATCAAATTTCCTTTTGTCACCTATGCTTACTGCCTAAAGATACTTACTGCTCCTGTGAATACTGAATATTTTAAAACCGATTTTTTATAAGCATTCATTCAAGGTAGGTGTGATTCTCTTTCTTACGCTGTGTGGTTGTGAAAAGAGATCCTATAATGTTAGGAAGTGATATTTTAAAGAATGAAACGACCCAAATTGATGGACCAAAGCAAAACCTTGATAGTTCCAGAGTATATTAAATACATTTCTTTTGATATTGCCTAGACTAACCTAAAAAAAAACCCTTTAGCAGTGCAGTGCGGCTAGGAAACCCGGCCCAGAAAAGGAGCCAGGAGGGACGTGCTGGAAAGGAGGCAGGCAGGACCTGCGTGGAACTCAGGTGGAAGCCCCGTCGGCGCTTACTGGGGAAGGGCTGGGCGGCCTTTCCAGCAGGTGGCCTCCAGATGCGCTGGAGCTGCAGTTCCAGAATTAGGTCTGTGGGAGGCTGAGACAAACACAGCTGCTGCTTGTTTGTGGGCAGGAGTGCCGGTCTTTGCGCAAGGGACGGGAATTGCGTCAGTTGTGTCGCACCGTGCGGTGGCCACGGTTGGAGGGAGATGCTCGTACCAGCGATGCATCTGGCACGCTTAGGCGCCAGGAAGCTGGACTGACCGAAAGTGGAGGACAGCTGAGCCATGGTCTCGCGCAGAGAAGGCCGTTAAGCCATCGCCTCCCGTGGCTTCTGCACTGGAAAAGCCCACTGGAGCTGCTCCCTGCAGGCCCCAGTTGTGAAGGAGGGTGCAGCCCCCCCTCCCCCCCCCGATTTCTTGGTCCAGGGAGCCGCCTGGGTGAGCCTGGCCGTCCTGGGTCAGAAGCCTTTCGTCGCCCTTCCGCAGCCGCAGCTCATTCGAGGCTGCAGTGAGGCCTCCTGGCCCCGCCCGGCATGGCTTTGGCCCCAGCCGGAGCCGGTGTGGCTAAAGGGCCGTCCTGGGCAGGTCCATTACATGAGAGCCACTCTCTTTTGCAAGCAGGGGCGCAGAGGAAGAGACTCCTCAGAAGGGACCCCACTCCTCATCGCTGCCACTGCCGCCGCCACCACTTCCAGTTCCTTTGCTTGAGGAAGAAGCGATAGGCGAGAGAAGCCGGCTGTGGTTGGGGATGGAGGCTGCCGAATAGGAAGAAAAATAATGTGGCTCCCACGGACTACTGGGGGGAAGACGTGGCACGGAAGCGTGGAACACTAAAGACAGCCGAGAATCTGTCCCCGTCTGGCCTTCCGTGATGGGGGTGGGTGGGGGGCTGAGGAAGCTGTGGACGGGGCCCCCTCCGTCCAGCTGGTCTAGAGCAGGATTGGCAGGTGGCCACGGCCGAAGGGGAAGCTCTGAGGCCTTTGGGGGCCTTGGTGTCGATCCCGGGGGCCTTGACCCAGAACCGTCTCCTTGGACCATTTCATAAGGGTGGGGGGGGGAGTTTCCCCCAGTTCTGCCTTCGAAATCCTTTTAGCTGGAAGGCTGACGCCACCACAAGTTACGGTAGCCAAGTTTACAGCAATGCAACAGAGGATTTCAGGGGAAGGAGAAAAGACGCCTTTTTAAGGTAAACAAGTGGCTGCAGTCAGCTTTTCTTTTCCCCTTGCAGACAGGAAGGGCCTTTTTGGACCAGCAGCCCGAGGATGATGTGTCCTTCCATAGAAGTTGTAAATGACATAATCCATCTGATAGGATTGTGAGAAGGGCCTTCGTGCTGACTGGCCTCCCGGTAGCCAAATGAGCCCTTCTAAAGAAGAAGGAAAGGGGGTAAGGTTTAGCTCAGGGTGAGATAAGCCCAGGTGTCCTGTTCCGTAATTTGCATTGCAAAGCAGGGAATTTCACAACATTCTGCTTTATGGCACTGCTGGTGATTTTGGATTATGGTCGCTGAGCCACAGGCCCCTTTCCCATAAACCCCGTGAAAGAGTCCTGAACCGTAGCCCCGCACTGGGTCACCCTGCCTCAGAGGCAAAGGCCGGCTCCATTCTCCTGGCAAGCCCGGGACACAGGCTGTCCCCAGGGCTGTGGGGAAGAGTGGGGAAAGTTTAGGGCTGGGGGGTTTTGTAACCCTGTTGGGGAGGCTGTTGTGATGCAAAGCCAGCACCATGCCCCGGTGCACAGGCGAGTTGAGCCCTGGGTGTTTCTGTGGTTTTCCCTGGAGGGGCAGGGTGTTAAGGTGTCGTCGTCTTTTTCCTTTTAACTGTTGTCGCCTGTTGCACAGTAGAGCTTAGGGCGGACTATCATGTCATCTTTGTTGCTTGGAAATTGAATCACCACAATTCATGTAGAGCAGAAGAAAAGGTGGGGTGTGTGTGTGTGTGTGTGTGTGTGTGTGCATCTCTTAAAATTCTCCATGCAGCCACGGATCCCTGATTTTCTCCTGTGTTGAACTGGGGGGGACGGGGGGGGGGGGCTGTTTCAAGTTCAGCCACCCGGTGATTCCTGAATCCAAATAATCTCTGGAGGGGAGCGAGGGACCCCTCGATTCAGAGGACCATAAGGAGGTCGGGTCACGCCTTGTGGAAAGGGTTGGTCCCCTTGACTTGCCCCGCCAATTTCCTTTCGGACTCTCTCCTCGTTTTTTAAAAAATAAAACTCTCTTTATTTCTGGAGTCAAATATCACAGGGTTGGGTTTTTTCTGCTCTTCCTGAAAATGGCCACTCCCTTCGGCCCCTCTGAGGTCCTCTGGCTTTAAATTACCTAGAGGAGATGAGAAGTGATGGGTCTGAAAACTTTTGTCCTAAATAAGAAAATAATTTTGTCACCTGGCTTTTCATGACCTGGTGATCCAGATGTAGCTATGTTTGTCTTCTCACGATCTACTTGTAATAATGAATACCAACCATTTCCGCTTAACACTGCTTAACGTTTTCTGAAAACACACTTTCTTCTGAACCTTGAGATTTTATTGACTTCCGGCACTTGAATGACATGTCTGTTCCTAGAAATTGGCCGCCTGATACGGTGATCTTCCTGAAAGGGGGGTGGGGGGAGGGGGTGGCAGAAGACTTTCTTTGGCAAATGCCTTCATTCTGCCGGTGCCATGGACAGCTGGTTTTTAGACCGTGGAGCATCCCCAAGGTCTACCTACACAACAGGTTTATCGACTTCTGCGAAGCTGTGGTTTTCAGAAGTATTGTATCTTCTGGCAGACATGGGTGCTGTTTCCTGCTGCTGGTTTTGTTAGAAAAGAGCCTTTTTCATAGATTCCTTATCTCTTCCGTTGAAGGTGGCAAGCTAAACATGATCCCATTCTCAGATCTCTGTCGGGGATTCAGCTGGAGATCTGGTTCCGAGAGGTGCCGGGGCCTTGCCAAGCAGCCTGCTCCCTTCTCCTCTCCCAGCTGCTGCCAGGGTCCCCTTGTTTGCGGCGCATGTAACCCGGAGTGAGCTCTAGTTACGCAAGGATTTCAAGGAGCTCAGCCTGGTTCCAGCCAGCATTTGGGCAGAGGGCAAATGGTTGGGAGCCAGGCAGCGTAGACATTTGACGCGTAAACTCTGCACCGTTGCTGAGCCTCCAAAGCAAGACCCCCAACGTCCCCACAGAGGCGCCAGCTAGAGGCCGGCAGGCAGGAGTTGGAGATTGCACCCTGTGGGCCTCTGCGTCGCCCCGGAGGACGGCAAACAAAGCTGCCATCTTTTGGGTGGCACGGGTGACGTGGAGCCCTTCCAGGGCGTCCCTTCAGGTGACAGGGCGGAGGCCAAGGCAGCGAGCGTGGAGACAAAGCAGGACAGGGAGGGCTCCCAGTTGGGAGGGCTCCCAGAAGTCCTGTCCCCGGGAGGGTCTTGAAAGCTGCGGACCCCCGTTGCTGGGAAGGCAGGGCCATCGGCTCTTCCAGGCCAGCGGAGGGAGGACTATAAACAGGGCAAGTGGAGGAAGTTGGGAGTGAGTCACCCGCGTAGATGAAACCCTGTGCCAAGAGTGGAGCTCTCCCACTCGATCCCAGCCTTCCCCTTACGAGGAAGTTCTGAAAAGGCTCCTCTTAGCGGAACAGCCTTGGGCAATCGAGGAATATCTCGGCCTCTTCCCTCCCCCGCCCCCACCCCTTTCCAGAAAGACCTGTCAATCAGTGGATGCATCGCTCGTCCCTGGAGTCTCTTGCCTCCGAGGGAGCAGCTGCTCCTTTGGAGAGCAGCCTTCAGGAGACCCCTCCCCCCCCCCCCCCCCGCTAGCTCTTGATGGAAATGAATATGCGGCACTGTTGGGGGGGGGGTTTCGATGTGTGACAAGACAGAGAGGGGTAGGGGGCTCGGGCAGAGACCCCGGGGAAGGCTGGGTGTGCGGCATAGGCAGTTTTGAGCTTGGAGCCCTGTTTCTCCACCCAGGCCCTTTCAAGAGGCGTGCCCTTCAGCTCCCAGAATCTCCCTCCAGGGAGGAAGGCGAGGAGGGGTCTGTAGGGGAACCAAAGTTAGCTAGCCGAACTCCCGGCCGGTTCTGCCCAGCGGGCCCTTCTCAGCCTTTCTGCAGCTGGTGAGCTTTTATAGCCTGGTCCTCCTATTTTTAGAACTGGGTTTGCAGTCACGTGAGGTAGGAACTATTTTTAAATGCCAGTTGATCTTCTCGGGAAGCTGAGTCCAACATCTGGCGGGGATTTTTGTTTGTTTGTTTGGATCGGGTGGCACTTCCCCAGAATGGAGGTTGGAGGCAGTTTGTCACTGCCAGGGACGATGGGCTGCGGGGATGCTGGGGGGTGTTTGATCTTCCCCGTGGATTAGCGATGTTGGGGTGCAGTTGGGGAGTTGACATCCCAGGGGCAGCTCCATGGCCCGGTCATGTTCCCCAGCCCTTGACCTCCCTTGCCTTTTGAGCAGCACATCAGCCGCCTTCCCGGGAATTGCCCCCGAGGGGGCCGGGGCAGAAGGCTCCGCAGGATGAGGATGATTCGGGTCTTTACCGTCATCATTTCTCCCGTCTCTGTTCCTAAGGAGCCGCTCCTTTGGGCTCAGCACCTCTTTGGTTTTGTTACTGGGTGCCTTGTTTACGCTTTCAAATGTGGCCAAGCTGGGGAAACAGACTTTTGCCTGGCGTTTCCCGGTGCACCGAGCGATTGGTCCACGGGGGCCCATGGGAGTGTCAAGCTGACAGGCGTGGGGCCCAGCAAGGCCTCGGCCACCTGGCTCAGTCCTGGCCTTCTGGAGTGGCCCGTCTTGCAGGTGGGCAGCTGACCCGGGAGGAAACGCCCTGCCTTCTTCGCCCAGGTGAAGGGCAGGAGCAAACTGTCCCCCGCTGCGGGGGTGGGGGTGGGGGGGAGGGTGAGCTGGTCCTCTTCCTGTGGGGTTTACAAGGAAACGTGGGGACGACGGCTCCGTTGGGGAAAGGAGGCTTCCTCCCTCGCAGCTCTGAGAAGCCCCTCCCGAAGCCGCATGGCCTGCCCTGTTGCCGCCAGGCTCGGCCCTTCTCTCCTCCCTGCAGCCTTGGGGTGTCTCCTGCGACCATGAAGGCGCCTGCATGTTTTCGCCGCCGGCTTCTGTGTGAATTCTGCTCCTCTCTCCTCTTGCAGGTTTTGCCGTGGCCCAGTGTCTCAACCAGCCCACCCCTTCCTCCTCTTCCTCGCTGTCCCCGTCGTCCAGCAGGAGCACCGGGTGCTGCGACTCGGCCGTGGCCAGCTCCGCGTCCACACCCTCCATGGCCCAGAGCCCTTCAGGTATCTGCACCCGGCCTTCTAGCACAGGCGACTCGGGGGGGGGGGGGGGGGGCGAGCAGGCGGGTCATAAACGCGGTCTGAACTCCACTTGAGGTTTTAATGAAGCTGCTTAATTGAACAAATGCCGTCATTCATTAAGCAACTGTTCTGGAAAGCATAACACATTTAAAGCGATCTGCCAAGTTATTTTTCCTTGGAAGCAGCTTCTCTGCAGTTCGGGCAAATGAACTAGTCCTGCCTGAAAGCCACACCGCTTTGGATCCCGCCCCGTTCCCCGGGCTGACCCCACCCTCCCCAGTGCCGGGTTAACGGGAGGGGTCATCCTGAGCCACTTAAAGGAACGTTGCTCCAAGCCGTCCGCCAGTCTGGGCCCCGAGGAGCCGGCTGGGCTGCTCTGCAACGAAGCCGCCGTGTCCCAGGCTGATGTGTGGGTGCCCCTGTTCACCTCCCAGCTCCTTTGGCAGGAATGTAGAGGTCAGGTTTAATATGGCTGCAGTATTACCGTGCGTGTTTTTAAAAAGCCTTCAGAATGATTCACGTACATTTCCTATTTTTCTTTCATACACGTTTTGGATGCCAGGTTCTTAATTTTTGTGTAGATATATTCCAGGCCGTAGCTGCAGGAGGAAGCGTGAAAATAAGACTTCAAAATTGTGTCCTGGGACAAAGCAGAGGGCCTACCTGGGTGTTGCTTTCAGGCTGGGGAGAGGGGGAGAACTCGCAGGCCGAGCTTCATGTCAAAAGCCCTCTTGCAAAACTCAATTCAGATCCCCACGCAAATCCTTCTGCTCCAGCCTCGTTCTCGAAGGCTTCCCGTGTCGTGCCTAGAAGTGGTGATTTCCTTTAAACCCTCCCCAAAAGTATTCCAAGGCACCCCTCCATATTTTCTTCCTCTCTGCCTGGGGGACCTTAAACCTGGTCCTCAAACGGGAATTCGGGGGAAGGAAAAGGGACTTCCCAAACCAAAGGATGCCTGTGACGGGCGAGTCGTCTCCCCCTAGCAGCCTTTCTCAACCGTGGCCACCGGAAGGCGTGGGGGCTTCGGTGCCCGCAATTCTCCAGCCAGCAAAGGCTCTCCTAGGGAATTCTGGGTGTTGAAGTCCACGTGTCTCCCGGTGGCCAGGATGGAGAAGGGCTGCTCCGTGGTCCTTCCCAGGGGAGGAGAAATGGAGGGAGGGGGGCAGCGGCTTCCCCAGCTGGGGGGG